CAATCAATTTGGTGTTTGTAAAATTTGTGAAATCCTGTTTGTTTGTTTTTAAATTCAGACACTGGATGAGACCAACAGGGTGATATTCACTAAATTGTGAATTCCTAGTGAATTTCAAACTTAAGATCAAAAAAGCTGAATTGGGAAAAATCTCTACTTCCGGTTTGCCTACTCTGGTCTTAAATTTGAAATAAATTTCGAATTCTCACCAGGGGCGTACCTAGAGCATTTGGACCCCGTGGCTAATCCTGTGTTTGGCAGCCCCCCTCCGCCCAACATCTTAAAATGCAAAAAAACACCAAAACTGCACAAATGTGTAAATTTGAATTTTGGCATTTTTGACATTCGGATGCTTCTGAATTGCCGAAGTCCCGAAGTATTGAAGTGCCGAATTTCGGTAGTGCCAAACTGAACCGAATTGCTGAATTCCCGAAGTGCCGAATTTCCCTAGGTGTATGGTTAGGTGTAGGGTTAGGGCTAGGGAGCCCTACAGATGTGTAAGTGGTGGCAAGAGAGGGATGCATACGAATGTCGAATTGCCGAAGTCACGAATTTCGGAAGATCCGAACTGAAGTGCCGAAGTCCCGAAATGCCAAAGTCCTGAATTTCGGGAAGTGCTGAACTGAACTGATTTTTTTGCCCATGTACATCCCTACATAAAACTCCTGCACCCCCCTTCAAAAAGAAAAAATACAATAGAATTCATTTTTTTACACAACAATATTAGCAACAGTCTTCAGAGTCCAGTCCCAGGCACATAGTCACTCGCATACAGTCACACACACAGTTACAGGCAGACAGTCACTTTCTCTCTCTCTTACAGCATCCCCCAAACACCGTCAGAATGTCACACACACATTGTTACATGCACACAGTCACACACAGCCAGTCACATGCAGACCGTCTCAAACACACCCGGGGCGAAGCCCCCCCCCCCTCCCTTAGTACGCCACTGATTCTCACTTTAGTGAATAACCCCACAAATGACCTGTGCAGATTCATCCAGTCTTACCATATAATAATAACCAACTTTGCTTTTATTGGGATATTCAGCTACAAGTCAGCTATTTTGAGGACATTTGGCCAATTCCTGCCCTTCTGAGCCTACCCAAATGTTACACATAATGTGAGATTTAAACTTGGGCAGAATGTAGAGAAGAAATTATTTTTTGTTTTGCAACCATTTTAAGGACCCCTTAAATTGACATTTTCACTCACTCACACAGGGTTATTGTGGGGAATGAAAATTTAACCACAAATTCTTGGCCAAAATCACTAAACCTGAAACATAACTGACAGATATGTTTTGCAATTCAGTTAGTGTGGCTTAAAATGGAAAATTCACTTCCAGGGAAATTCAGGCCAAAGTGTCAGACTGGAAGCATCGATGACTGTTGGCTAATTTTACTTTGAATTTCTACTTTAGTAATAGTCATATTTGAGTTGCCAACATTTCACTATTGGTGACCACCAGCCAAACTGGGTAAATTGTAACAGTTTGGCTATTTAACCTGAAAAACTGCAATCCCTGGTCAGGTTTCCACAATATTTGGAGGTAATGAATGAATCTCTAATTATTCAGAATGCAGACAGGAAGTAAGAAAGCACACAATTCGTGGAATTCCTGCCTTGCAAGAAATCAAACGTAGAGAAAATAGACCGACTTGTGGATGTAGGAAGAAAAGAATTTAATGCTTTGTTTCGACATGTCTGCAGAGGTGATGTTACAATGAAACCATTTAAAAAACAGATGTTGAAAGATTCTGGAGTCCTGCTTCTCTATTCAGTCTGCATTTAGAAATTGTATATGAAAAATATCTGTAAATTGTAACTTTGTAAACCTGTCAATATAATACAGGGCTCAATATTTCCACACGTCCATAAGCCATTGGCTAATGAAATTCACCCCGGTGATTGAAGGCTTGCCAACGCCTGATGGCAAATGACTTAAAGGACAACTGCAACCCCAATTTATTTTTTCATATAATAATTCTTTCATTAAGTTTTGACTAAGTTTTTATTTATTTATTTATAAATGTTATGACAAAAACAACGAATCCCTGCTTTCAGCTTATGACAGGAACCTTCAGCCATATACATGCACCTTCAGACAGTCTCTATGGTCTTCCTTGCTTCACTCCCTGCACTGAAGCAGGGAAGACCATAGAGGGTAACGGTCAGATGTCCAATGTGCACAGAACTGCTTTAGCCAGCCAGAGACATTCATTTTGTTCTGGCTAACAATGTGTTTTAACTCTGTGCAGTTGACTGGGGCCCACAAGCCACCCCGGGTCCCTCTAAGATCAGAAGGTCCACTGCAGCTCTGAACTCTACACTTTGAGGCTATCCAGGATGAGAATTAGGCCACAGCCTCAAATACACAGAACAAAAGAAAGACATTATCTGCACACTATCCCAGGTCCTTAGCACATTTAAATGCCAGGAGATTTTTAGAAGACTTGTACAGAAAGCCTGCTCAGATACGCTGATAAAATAAAATGCCTGTTATTAACTGATCAATTAGTTCATGATTTCCCAAACAAATTGATTCATTTAAAAGGCATTTAATTCATTCAGCACGGCTGAACAGGATTTGTACCCAAGTCTAGTTTTTAGTATTACTCCAATGGCCATTAGAGTGTAAGCTCACCTGCATCATCAATGCAGACATCCTAGGTGACTCTTACACTCAGAATCCACCATGCTGCCTTTAGATAAAAGGCACACTACTACCACTTAAAGGTTAATACAAATACCGCTTTCTGTCTCATTAGAGATTTAGGTTTTGTTAGCGGACAGTAGTGAGGTGAATTGTTGTGTAGGATTCATCTAAGCGATCTGCCTTGACGTGGCAGGTGAACTTACACTTTAACAGCCATTGGAGCGGCACTAAAAACCTATTATTTAAATGTGCGTAGGGATTTGGGATATTCTTGTATTTATTTGGGCTAATCAAAGCTACAGCCATTACCGTCTCCCACGAGTAGTGAGAGTTTGAGCGCAGGGATTCATTTTGTGAGTTTGTATTTAAGAAATTTAAGCCGAATTTCTGATGACTGGTTTACTCCCTGAGTCCACGATGACTTGCTTTGCAATGCGTCAAGAAAAAAAGAAAGTTTCATTAAGCATGTACACACACCTATGATACGCTGCAAGGCGTGGAGTTCACGGAAATGTAACCTGGGCGGGTAATTCTGGCTACCTATCCTGATGGGTTGGGTAGGTGTTCTTCCAGGATGGTATAGTAAAGATCTCTATACAGGCTTGCCAGATAGATCATGTTTTTTGGGCACATGTCACATCTTCATGTGGATGGAATGGGCATGAAAAGTGCTGGCCTGGTGTATGAGGAAATCATATGCTGCAGTAGGGAAATAAATGAACTAATCAAGGCAGCTCCTTTTGAATTCCTCCTTTATCAATAAACCGATTTTCTAATTGCAGCATATGAATTCTTCACATAGCAGGGCAGCACTTTTCATGCATTATCCATTAATATAAAGAGTTATAACTGCATAAAATGATGTTGGATTGTGCATATCTGCTCCCCCTTTCTGAAGTTGCCCAAGTTAAGGAAACAGACCAACTGGGCATTAAATATATAATCAATGTACATCAAAAATCTGTGTAAACACTATAAACCGTTTACTAGGGTCAGTGATCGTTAACCTTCTGAAGTTGTGGACTTTAACCCCCACGTAGCTTTGCCAGCTTTCTCACTGCCGATATTGTAAAGCCTGCCCTGGGGGCTTTGCAATAATAATAAAAAAAATAAAAATAAATAAAGTTTAGTTTTTTTTCCCTTCTTTTGCAATTTTTTAAAACACATTTTGTATGTAACATTTAAAATGAGGATCATTTTTAGCCTGGAGCGTCTCTTTAAATAATCAAGGCTTTGCGATTCCTCAGTGATTAATGAGTTGACTCCCTGCCTAAAGCATCAAAGTCTCACACATTCACCCAGAGAGGTTTATTTACTAAGCTCCAAATTGTAGCCAAGCCGGGACTATACGCCGCCATTCTACTTTTTTTTTCTTCATAGTTTGCATAAATTTGCATAAAACCCCATTATCTTGAACGTGTGTTCTCTTCCACCTGTAAAAAGTAATACAACTGTTTTCGTGCAGTAAAATTGCTGATATAATCTAACAGCGTCACCCCAGTAACCAGCTGAAGTACACAAATTCAGACTAACATTAGTCACTACCTCTAGCAGTATCCGCTTTTAATAACCAGGCCTGTTTATACAAGTGGATGTACAATGGGCCTTTACACTGGTGTTTAATAACAACTACAGAATTATTTAGTAAAGTGAATTTTATATATTGGTTACAAAACTGATAACATAGCTGACTTGGGATATTTGTTCTAAATCAGCTATTTTGGCCTGGGATGTGTCCTATTAGCCGACTACATTTTGATATTGGGGAATAATAAATTCATCTGTGAGAATACCAAGCAGGGCAGGTGGAAGGAAATTAACTGCCCAGAAACCAGTCTGCCACCCCATTGAATGACCACATATTCCAGAGTGCAGTACAACGGGTGAAATAACAGACAAGGGATGACAATTCTATATATAATTAGAAGAAAGAAAAGGGACATGACTAACATCATCAATAAGGCCTGGATAAAATATAAATGCAGCCAAATATATCAATAGCAATGTCATACTTCCTAAATATGGGTGATATAAAAAGTGGATTGGTGGGGGAGGAAGGCTGCGGGGAAATCTAATTTAATATAGGATCTAATAAGACACACAGATTTAGTATTTTTATTCTCAGACCTAATGAAGATATTATATTAGTGGTTTTAAAGGGAGATTTTTTTTTATTTTTTATTTTTTTAACCCTGGTTATTTGAATTACAAGAAAAGGGTTAATCAAATATCCAATGTTGGTTTAATACATTTATACACAATGGTAAATTAGGACCAGGTCATTATTTCGGTCTGTGAATTAAAGAATCATTTTTTCAACTGTGAATCAAGAAATTGTCATAGATCTAGAATTAATTGGGATTGATCGGTCCAAAATCACGCAGTTGGTACATAATGCCGGTCAGCATCACGTGAAATTTAAACAGGAACAGTATCAAAGAAGAGATGACAGCCTCAAAGTGAGCCACTAGCAATGAAGATTGTTAGATAGAAGTACTTGTAGTCATTTTGTAGGAATTCTTAGAACTCACGGTCTTCTCTCTATCTAGTATTTTTGATGATTTTCTTAAAACCAGAAAGCTTAGGCTTTACATTTAGAGTATTGTCTAGTTTTACTGAATACCAGCTTCCTGTTCTTCTGAAGAGCCATTACATTGCACACGTACTAAAACGAGAAATGAGAAGAGGAACATGCAAAACACACAAGGGAGATGTTGTAACTGAGAAAATATATCCACTATTTTAATCAAACAGCAATCCAATTCCCAGGTAGAAAATAACAGATCAACTCTTTCTCTGGCAGGTCTGTGTTGTAAACGGGACGGGTTAATATACAAAGTTGGAAGGCGATATAAGAACACTGGCAAAGAGTCAGCATTAGAGCACATGGATCTTAGCAAAAATAAAATAGGCATGTTTGGTATACATAGGAAAAAATACACAGATTGAAATAACATACAAAGACTGGGCTTTATAAAGAAATTCAAAAAGAAATGGCCACAGGAATGTAGAATATTCACATTGTATATAAACATATTATATATCTGAAGCACTCAAAGGGTTTTGGAAATGTAAGGTGCCAAAAAACAAAAACAATACAACAACTTGAGTCTTTCACAAAGTTATGACGCTCACAAGTTGCGACAAAAATAGAATTCGTCTTTCTTCATTTTGTACGTATAAACTGAAATTAGAAGTACTTTCATCTTGTCTGTACCTTAGCTGCACACACGTGGCTATATAAAGATGTTGAGCACTCAAGATAAATAATGTCCTCTCTGCTTTTAAGAAAGATATAAAATGATACAAGTCAAATGAGTTCGAAGCACTCATGTAGCGTTTAGAAAAAGCACTCATGTGACTTAAGAAAAACAAACATAACACTATTGCCATTCATTCCTTTGTAGCAATCTTCCGTAAATTCCATGTGTAGCTTTACCCTTTTCAAGAGAGATATACACAGTAACAAGAAATTCTACCAGGGTGTGCAAATATTGGTGTACATTCCGCTGACACAGGCAGCTATGTACCCAGAGCTCTACAATAAACTCACACAGCATGAAGAGCTCATCTCCTGAAATCAATTAGTACTCTTGCTCTGCTGATTGTCTATTTTCCAGGTGATGTATTACACATCAATAATGATAAGTGCTCTTAAAGCCAATGTCATTGATGGCCAACCCTTCCACCGCCAGATAAGCCTGGTACTGGTCACCTGATCTCCTGGTGAGGAGAGACCAGATGTCAGGGTACAGTTTGAGGCACAAGGGCCTGTTTAGCTCTTTGCAGAATTCTTCAACATTTCTTTCGAGCTATGGATAGGATGAACTATTGCCACTGGAATGGATGTTATAATCCTCGATCCATATACTTTCCCTCGAAGATAATACTCTGAGAAAAGATCTCTGGCAAAAAAAAATTAAAGACATTGATGGGTTAGACAATTATTTATAAACAGAGTAAAGCACTATAAACAATATCAATTCCTCCCATCAGAGATAAAAAAACAAAAGAAAAGTAAAACAAATTAAAAAAATAACAATTAAATTGCGGGAAACTGGGACGTGCTTTAGCTATTTGTGATGTAACTACTACAGACAGACTTGGCTACTGACAGACTGACTTGGTTATAGAATACGTATTAATACACAGCTGTGTTAAGCTGACAACTGAGTTCCAAACTCTAAGCAAAATATTTAAACTGGAAAATGGATCGTGTGACATCCGTACAACATGCACTCTGTAAGGAAAAACCAGAAGTGGTACACACCGAAATTCCACCCCCGTCACGTCCACTTTTGTGGATATGCTCTTTTCCGCGTTCTTCTTACGTTACAGTCTGGTGAGACGACGTTGTCGACAGTTGAGGCCGGGTCGTGTGACTGTGCACTCAACTCTCCCTAAAGAGAAGACATGATTCTTTAAACACTATGAAAGGAAATGGTAAAGACACAGAAACTGGGACTTATTGGTAACCTAGAAAAAGAGCAGACGGGCACCTGTACTCTAGAAGTTGAAATTAGCATAATTTGCTCAGCCACAATCAACTATTCTTCCTAGCAGTAAGGGCTGATAAGGCCAAATTGGAAAACACCAAAAATCTCTTTATGTGACATTTAGTAGATTTCTAATTGGACTTGTAACAAGTGATATGTGACTTTTAATGGATAGCTCACCTGCCATGAAACTAGCAAGCTTGGGTATTCCTCTATTTTTAGACATGTTTGAAAAAAAACAACCAAAAAGCTGCATACTGGGTATATGGTAACAATGCGAATATTTTGAAAACTGCTCAATACAGCTAGTAAACGTAGTTATTGAACTGTCTTTTCTTGTTGGTGTGTCTCTTAAATTTTGTTTTTGACTTAACTAAAAGGGAGCTGTCACTTTTCTATAATTTACACAATTACCAGTGAAAATCACCTATAATATGTGTTAATGTTTTTCATTAGATGCTCCGTTTATACTTAAATTTATATTAAAGATTTAGAAAATGACATATTTCACTTCAGACAAGACAAAGCCAAGGCAAACATGACAAATGAGGAGGAGAAATAGAAACATTGTTTCATTTCTCCACTTCTCCGCAGGATTTTAAGATTCAAGACTTGATGGACAGATCATTGATAGGAAGCAGAGGTGGAAAGGTCCATTTACAGGAAATGTGAATTTCTACATTTTTCACACTTCAAAAATACATATTTTTAAAAGGACATTCTAAGCACCAAAACACATTTAAGATTAATGAAGCAATTTTGGTGTATAGATCATGCCTCTGCTGTCTCACTGCTCAATCCTCTGCCATTTAGGAATTAAATCACTTTGTTAAGCTACAGTTGTCTTAGTTCTCCATGTGTCCCTTTAAATATAAAGATAATTGCTTATAGAATTAAAACTCCTAGGCAGTGGCGTACTAAGGGGGGGGCGGGGGCGGTCCGCCCCGGGTGCCACCAGGATGGGGGGTGCCATGACCAGCCCCCCCCACCCCCCATGCTGCAGCCGCCCGAGCGCTCTGTATAGAGCCTCAGGCGGCTGCAGCATTGCCCGGGCGGTGCGTCCATGAGGGCAGACCGCACCGCCCGGGTGCAACCTGAGGAGAGGCTGACCCTCCTGTCAGCTTCCTTTGCTGTAGCGTGGCCGAGCCCTGCAGCATGCTGGTCCGACGGGTACAGAGAGCAGCTGTCTCCTGTACCCGGCCGGACTAACAGGAAGTGCATACTGAGTGTGCACTTCCTGTTAGTCCGGCCGGGTTCCTGTTAGTCCGGCCGGGTACAGGAGACAGCTGCTCCCTGTACCCGCGGACTATACAGGGCTCAGCCACGCTACAGCAAAGGTAGGGGGGAGGGAGGGGAGAAAGGAGAGGGGGGTGAGAAAAAGGAGGGGGGTGAAAGAGGAGAAAGAGGGGGTGAGAAAGGAGGGGGGGTGACAAAGGAGAGGGGGGGTGAGAAAGGAGGAGGTGAGAGGAGAAAGGGGGGTGAAAGAGGAGAAGGGGGGGTGAAAAAGGAGAGGGGGTGAAAAGGAGGTGAAAGAGGAGAGAGGGGCGAAAAGGAGGAAAGGGGGGTGAGAAAGAGGGGGGTGACAAAGGAGAGGGGGGTGAGAAAGGAGGAGGGTGAGAGGAGAAAGGGGGGTGAAAGGAGAGGGCGGTGAAAAGGAGGGGTGAAAAGAGGAGAGAGGGGGGTGAAAAGGAGAAAAGGGGGGTGAGAAAAGAGGAGGAGGACAAAGGAGAGGGGGTGAGAAAGAGGAGAAAGGGGTGAAAGAGGAGAAAGGGGGAAAAGGAGAGGGCAGAAAAGAGGGGGGTGAAAAGGAGAAAGGGGGAAGAGAAAGGAGGGGGAGAGGAAGAGAAAGGAGGGGGAGAGGAAGAGAAAGGAGGGGGAGAGAAAGAGAAAGGAGAGGGGGGGTGAGAAAGGAGAGGGGGGGCGAGAGAGAAATTAGGAGGGGGGAAGAGAAATTAGGAGGGAGGGAGAGATATTAGGAGGAGAAATTAGGAAAGGAAATTGGGGGGGAGAGAAATGAAATTAGGAGGGGGGAGAGAATTAGGAGGGGGGAAAGAGAAATTGGGAGGAGGAGAAGGAAATTGGAGCGGGAGGAGAGATTGACATTCATCACATACACACAATGCACCCCTTGCACACAGAAAAACACACAATGCATTACACACACAGACACACATACACAAGCAATGCAACCGTTACACACAATGCATCCCTTACACACACAGAAACACACAATGCATTCATTACACACACTCAATGCACCCCTTACACACATTCAATGCATCCCATACATACACAGAAACACACCTTGCAGCCCTTACACATACAAACACAATTTCACACAATGCATTCCTTACACACATATCAGGACATCCCCTGCACACTCCACCCCCTGTGAACAAACTCATTGGTGGAACATAAAGGTGGACCCTGGGACCCAGACCTTGAGCTGTGTAAAAGACCCCCAAAAAATGGAGCTGCTTCCCGTTCTCCCAGAACATTGATTTTTGTGACCACAGTTACAAACCGCCTCCAGAGAGCCTGTTCTGCACCAGACCAGTGGAGCCAGACTGCAGCTAGAGCCCATCATCATCCTCATCTGGTTGTAATAGGCAATCTAGTATATTATTCGTGGCACTAAGTCAATTTACTCACATTAAAGAAACACGATAGTCCCCAGAACCACTTCAGCTTAATGTAGTGGTTCTGGTGTCTATAGCCTGTCCCTGCAGGCCTTTTTAACGTAAACACGGTTCTGCAGCACTGGCGTTAGTTAACATGGCAAATCATATGGGTGGGGCATTGTGATGTCACGGGGGCGGCAAACTTTACTTTTGCCTAGGGCGGCAAAAATCCTTGCACCGGCCCTGGCTGGAGGGGGCTGTGTGAGCTGTGGCCGCACAGTGTCCCATGGTAGTTAGGTGCACGGAGGAAATGTGTATGTGTGACTGTCTGCCTGTAACTGAGTGTGTGACTGTCTGTCTGTAACTGAGTGTGTGACTGTCTGCCTGTAAATGTGTGTGTGGGGCTGCAGGGATTTTGTAGAAGGGGGCGGGGGTTTTGTATTGGGACAGGAGTCTTTATAAGGGGGGATAAGCAGGGGATTTGTGGAAGGGGGTTGCGGGGGTTTTGTAGACGGGGCAGTACAGGATTTGTAGAAGGGGCAGGACAGAGGTTTTGTAGGAGGGGCGGGGCAGGACAAGGGTTTTGTAGGAGGGGCTGACAGCGGTTTTGCAAAGTTTACAAATTGTAAAAAAAAAAAGAGAACCTTTAAATTTTTTACAGGTTTTTTGGGGGTGGGTGCACAGGATCCGCCCCGGGTGCCAAATGCTCTAGGTACGCCCCTGGTTAGTAGTCCCATAAAATGAAACGATTCTAACGATGAAAAACTTGAGTGAATATTAACAGACCAGAAATTCTGAATGCAGGAATAATCCTCAGGAAACCGTAAGAATTGGATACGAGGAGATGTGGTGACAAGCTTTGAATTTTCGAGTAGAATTATACTATGGAAGAAAGATAAATTGAAATTGATAAATTTATATCAATTAATGAAATTAACATCCATAAGTATGAACTGAATTATGTATATATTCGAATTCAATCACATTACATATAAAAAAAATCATTATAATGTGTATAATAAATTATAGATACAATAAACTATATATCAATAAAAAAAGGGGGGAGGGAATAGAAAAAAAGTAGAGATAAAGTACGATATTCTTATTCTTTTAGACACATTACAGGACAAAGTGAAGGTTGTTGAGAAAAAGCCGGATAAAATACTGAGGAAATGTTGGTTTTAGTTCACCGTGAGATATTAAAACAAACTCCTTCTGGGATGTAAAAACGAGCAGTTAAATCTAAGGCACGAAAATGTGAAACACATTTGCAGGAAATGAGACATAATAAAGTAACTAGTTTTCTAGAAAGTTGTCGAAGAGTGAGTTCTTCATTGTCTGGCCACAAGTCAAAGAGGGTAAGGACTTGATTAACATCCCAAATGTAATAATATCTAGAGTATGGTGGTCTAGATATTTTAATGTCTTTCACTAAATGGCATATTTGTGAATGCCTTCCTGCAGAAGAACCTAAAAATCCATCATGACTTGCTGAAATAGCTGATCTATAAAGATTAATGGTTCGATAAGCATTCCCTAATTCGAACATAAAAGACAAGAAATCTCAAATGGCTGTTACAGGAGATGATATTGGATCCAAATCCTGTTCCACGAAACAGCGAGACCACAATCTCCAGGCATTCCTATAAGATTTTCTGGTACCTGGAGCCCATGCTTCAGCAAGTAATCTTGAAGTTGTGTTTGAAATTCCGTGGATATTCCAAGGTATCCTGATATCAACCACACCATGAGTTGAAGCAGATTCTCTTGAATTAAAGGATGATGACCTCTGTCTGGGTTGATCAAAATCCATGGAAGCTGAGGGAGAAATCTCAGTCGATCTATTGATAATTCTAGAAGTTGAGGGTACCATGGTTGTGATGACCATAGTGAAGTTATGAGGACTATGATTCCTTTCTGAGGACGTACTTGGAGAAGTGTCCGAGCAATCATTGAGAAGGGAGGAAAGGCATAGTTGTGGGATATTGACCAATTTTGAAGAAACTTATAGAAACATAGAATGTGACGGCAGATAAGAACCATTCGGCCCATCTAGTCTGCCCAATTTTCTAAATACTTTCATTAGTCCCTAGTCTTATCTTATAGTTAGGATAGCCTTATGCCTATCCCACGCATGCTTAAACTCCTTTACTGTGTTAACCTCTACCACTTCAACTGGAAGGCTATTCCATGCATCAACTACCCTCTCAGTAAAGTAATACTTCCTGATATTATTTTTAAACCTTTGTCTATCTAATTTAAGACTATGTCCTCTTGTTGTGG